TTTCACTCCCACCCTCCCCCTTGTTCTTTACATTCACACAAACACTAGGCATACCTGACTCCTTAGCCAGTGGCCCCAACACACCTGCTATCCAAGTCGCTCCTTCTGTCCCCGATTCTGATCTCATTTCCTTTTAAACTCGCGACCCCACCATCAACACAACAATATGCTTCCTTTCCAATGCGTTGGCCCATATTACTTCTGTAGATGTTTCAATTCCAGATTTGAAATACTTTTTCATAACCTTGAATATCTTTGCATCATCAAAGGCCTGCTTGTTCATGTCACTGAGTCTCGCACTGCACCAGTGTTTGGGGTGCCTCAGTTCCATGGGGAATGATGCTCATGCATTCCCATAATTCACCATATGAAGGTCACAAAGGAGTCAAGGCAACATACCAGGCACTCCAACAGGTGGCATTTTGACCACACATAATGAAATATGTAGCAGAGCACCTTGGAAGCTGCCTGGTATGCCAGTGATTTCAGACAGCAAACCCACGTCATAGGGCGAAAAAGGGAGGACCAACTGTCCTCTGGTTAGACTTCCAACTCAACTGGGTCAGACCACTCACTATTGCTCTCAGGCATCCAGCCAAGTACAGCAACGTTGCCCCTGGTGCTGATGGCCATTCAGGCAGCCCAGCATGATGCCACATACTGACACTGAGTTGATGATCGGGTGGCAGATGACTCTGCCCCTGCACCTGCACCCCCAGTTAGGTCATAAAGAGTAGTGAACACAGTAACACCCAAGGGTGTTGATCGCCAGTGGTTGCATACGCCGGTTACAGTCAATAAGCTTTCTCCCAGTTCTCTACATCACAGTTGTTGGTACAGAAATAGAGCAGTAGACAAGCCCAGAATTTATAATTGATTGACAAGCAGTAGTCTACTTCGGCTCGTAGTCTATCGCCTGATTCTGTGCTCAGCACAGTTTATTAAGCTTAGATAAAGTATTCATAGTGGGGGGTGACCTGTTAAACTGCCTCCCCCTTCAAAGTAAGTTAAACAACATAGTAATTGATGTCACCCTAACCATGTGCATCTCTCTCATTGGAATTGCCTGGCTGCTCACACTCTTAATTGTTGGCCCACTTACTGCCCTCGCCCTTCCCAAAATTTCTGACCCAGAACCAAGCTCACGAATCATACTGAGTGATCAGCCTGGACTGTTGGTCACTAACTGCCACCTACACACAGAAGGTGTTTATCAAGTTGAAATCTGGTGAGGTACGTAGGGCGAATGTGCCACTAACAGCCCAACAGACAGTGTAGGCCAGGGCCAGATCCACTATAGATGCTATAAGGCATAATGAGGCAGACATCACTCACATGTTACAGCAGCTGGCAGCAGCAGCCAACTGCCAGGTCCCTACTTGGTCTCAGAACATCTACAATAAATGCAGTTAACTTAGCCACCATCAAGCAACAGGTAGACAAATTACAGACTGAACGTCTTAGTATGAAAACACAGTTGAACACCCAGCAATTACAACTGCATACCATTGGTATGGTGCCATACAGGGCACCATTCTAGTGCTTAACGCCCACAGTACCACCTTAAACAAAACCATACAAACAGTAAATTTCCATTATTTCAGTAATCCACGTTGGCCACGCTCATATCTAACTTGTGAAGACAGTTTAGGTATTGGTAAAATCCTTGCATACACTATATAGACAAAAGTATTGGGACATACCTCTTAATTATTGAGTTCAAATGTTCCAGCCACACCCATTGCTAACAGGTAAATACAATTTAACTACACAGCTTTGCAGTCTCAATTGTCTTTGCAGACAAACACTGGCAGTAGAATGGGTCATATCGATCAAAATGCACAATGCCAGACAGGGTGGAGTGGTTTAAAGCATGCCACCACTGGTTTCTGGCACCATGGAAACGCATTCTGTGGAGCAAAGAATCATGCTTCACTATCTGACAGTCTGATGGATGAGTCTGGGTTTGGCGAATGCCAGGAAAACGTTACTTGCCTGACTGCATTGTGCAAGTGTAAAGTTTGGTGAAAGAGAGATAATGCTATGTAGTTGTTTTTCAGGGGTTGGCCTAGGACCCTTAGTTCCAGTGAAGGGAAATCTTAATGCTTCAGCAGACCAAGACATTTTGGACAATTGTACGCTTCCAACTTTGTGGGAACAGCTTGGAGAAGGCCCTTTTCTGTTTCAGCATGACTGAGCCCCAGTGCACAAAGCAAGTTCCATAAAGACATGGATGAGCGAGTTTGGTGTGGAAGAACTTGACTGGCCTGCACAGAGTCCTGACTTCAACCCAGTAGAACACTTTTGGAAAGAATTAGAGCGGAGACTGCGAGCCAGACCTTCTTGTCCAACATCAGTGTCTGACCTCAGAAATGCACTTCTGGAAGAATTGTCAAAAATTCCCATAAACACACTCCTAAACCTTGTGGAAAGCCTTTCCAGAAGAGTTAAAGCTGTTATAGCTGCAAAGGTTGGGCCAACATCATATTAAACCCTATGGATTAAGAATGGGATGTCACTCAAGTTCATATTCGTGTGAAGGCAGACAAGTGAATACTTTTGTCAATATAGTGTATATTAGCCCACTTTAGGCTTCCCTTACCTTCATGCCTCAAAGTTTCTGAGTCACCCCTCCCCTAAGAAATGCCTTAAGCCTTAGTGTTTAATACCATTCCACTGATTGATTACATTATCTGAGATGCATGTTTCTCCTTCAATCAACTATAGCATTGAAAGTAATATGAATCTTGTTTGATATTTAGACCAATAAATTGCCTTTTGAGTAAAGCATCTTTAGAGAGAGTGTGTTTCCTCTCTTCCTGTGGTCTGTGTAGAACTGATGATTCGGGTTACCCTAGACTCTCATTTGAGGTCAAATTAATAATACAATTAAATTGCTTGATTTTTCTATAGTTGTAACTGTACTGGTACACACAGACATGTGTAAATTACAAACCAACCTTGTCATATTGCCTGAGTTGGCAACAGCCACTGTACTGTGTTTTTACTATGTCATATTTCTGCCGAATTCTGCTAGTTGGTCTCTAATGTCCTGCTTTCCTTTTTAAAAATTACTATCAGAAAAATTGCAGGTATATGTGTGTGACATAGTGGGCTGGGTCATGTTAGCCAGCTGATAAAAGCAGCAGATGGGGGCTTTGTTTGGGAATTAACATTAATTTTAGCTAGCTTAATTCTGCATCCCTCTACAGTTCACAAAGCATATTTGCAGATGAGCTGATGGCAGAGAAATATATCTGCCTCTGATTCTCAGTTTGTAGAAGACATGGCATCAACTGGAAATGATATGTCCAGCTGCACTTTTTTTTTTTTCAGCATATAAGATCATTTACATTTTAATTATCATTTTGGCACAATTTTTGCATAATCACATTAAGCATTAATATGCAGTTCTGGAAACACATTTTAATATAGATACATGTACCCAAAGCATTTAAATCTTTGTGTAAATGAAATGTCAATACTAGTACGCAGTAAAAATCGCAGTATTGAATTTCAATTTTCATTTTGAGCTCAACATTGCATATATGAGTGGGAAATTTAAATGCAAACATACAAGTACAATGCCATTCTACATATTACTTTTTCAGTTTAATTTTTATCCTTTCTCATATGCTTCCATAGAAGAAGACCTGCATAATTTGCCAATTGCCTTTGGCACACTGATTGGACTTCTGTAGGCCCTCAATATGGACTACCTTAAAGAGGTAGTCCATATTACTTTTAAAGTAATCCAAAAATTATTGTGATGACTGGGGAGAAGACTGCTCATGGATAGAAGTTTGTGGATTCAAAAACAGACAGTAAGGAAAGATGGACTAAAGAGAAGTTATGATGTCCTTGTGAATTTAAATGTTAAAAAAGTATGGCTTTACCTCTGCTGAACTCAGCTGATTGTTTGAAGTTTAGATAGGTGAATGGACTCCTGGCTGCCAATACTTTCATAATTTTAAAGTTGGATCTTAAGCCATCAAATTGCAGCAAGGTTTACAAGTTTGAAATTTTATTTGATAGTTAGGTAAACCATGTTATTGCAGATATTAGTCTGCTGTTAGGAAAATTTGTTTTTTCTTAAGTAAACAAAAAGCATTGTGTCCTTATATTAAGAAGCTATTTGTAAAGTGAACTGCATAACTTTGTGTGCCTTATCATTGAAGAAATACAAAATACAAAAAGATTCAGCATTGTATGACCCACTTTCTATTGACTAGAAATGGCACATCACTTTTTCTTTTCTGTTACTGATATTGAAAACATTATTATTAATCAATACGTATACAAAATCTTTTATTTTATACCAAGCCTTAAAATTAGACATTTTTACTTCAATCATCTTACTGAAGATGATGATCTAAAAGTAGGCCATTGTGATAAAATTGTTCAGCTAACAACAACATGACATCACATAGTGTGAGCACTATTTCAGGATAGATTTGTCAAAAGATTGAGTCAGATTTGTTGTTGTAGTCAAACATCATGCCAGAATAACAAGGTATAATTTGTCACTTGAATTAGCCTGGCAGCTATTAAAAATGAATTAAATTAATTTTGACTAGATTTAAAATTATGCCAATGTGATGCTAAGTTGGGTGAACAAAGGCAGATCTGTTTCAATGTAATGTTTGCAGTCACTTTCACATAATAAACAGCTAGATGAACAGGTTAAAAAAAAAATTGTTGTAACTAGCCAGTTAATTTATTCTGCTATAAGAGATGAGTTAACCTAACAAAGTCAGCTAATATTCTTAAGGCAATGAAACTTACAAACCCTAATGCAGCACTGTTACAAATATACTCCCTGGCCAAAAAAAAAGGTCACACACTCTAATATTTAGTTGGACACCCTTTAGCTTTGATTACGGCATGCATTCGCTGTGGCATCGTTTCCACAAGCTTCTGCAATGTCACATGTATTTCTGTCCAGAGTTGCATTAATTTTTCCCCAAGATCTTGTATTGATGATGGGAGATTTGGATCACTGTGCAAAGTCTTCTCCAGCACATCCCAAGAATTCTCAAAGGGGTTCAGGTCTGGACTCTGTGGTGGCCAATCCATGTGTGAAAATGATGTCTCATGCTCCCTGAACCACTCTTTCACAATTTGAGCCCGATGAATCCTGGCATTGTCATCTTGGAATATGCCCGTGCCATCAGGGAAGAAAAAATCCATTGATGGAATAACCTGGTTGTTCAGTATATTCAGGTAGTCAGCTGACCTCATTCTTTGGGCACATAACGTTGCTGAACCTAGACCTGACCAACTGCAGCAACCCCAGATCATAGCACTGCCCCACAGGCTTGTACGGTAGGCACTAAGCATGATGAGTGCATCATTTCAGCCGCCTCTCTTCTTACCCTGATGCGCCCATCACTCTGAAACAGGGTAAATCTGGACTTATCAGACCACATGACCTTCTTCCATTGCTCCAGAGTCCAATCTTTATGCTCCCTAGCAACTTGAAGCCGTTTTTGCCGGTTAGCCTCACTGATAAGTGGTTTTCTTAAGGCTACACAGCTGCTTAGTCCCAATCCCTTGAGTCCCCTTCACATTGTGCGTGTGGAAATGCTCTTACTTTCCCTATTAAACATATCCCTGAGTTCTACTGTTGTTTTTCCATGATTTGATTTCACCAAACGTTTAAGTGATCGCCGATCACGATCATTCAAGATTTTTTTCCGACCACATTTCTTCCTCGAAGACGATGTTTCCCCACTGTCCTTCCACTTTTTAATAATGCATTGGACAGTTCTTACTCCGATTTTAGTAGTTTCAGCAATCTCCTTAGATGTTTTCTCTGCTTGATGCATGCCAATAATTTGACTCTTCTGAAACAGATTAACATCTTTTCCACGACCATAGGCTGTGTCTTTTGACATGGTTGTTCAACAAATGAGAAACTACTTACTGCATCAGTTAGGGTTAAATAACTTGTTGCCAGCTGAAACATAATCACTCATGCAGTAATTATCCAATGGGAGGCTCTTACCTATTTGCTTAGTTAAATCCAGGTGGTGACCTTTTTTTTGGCCAGCCAGTGTATTTTTAAGTTGAAGCAACAAAATGTAGTGGCCCTTCAAATTTGAGATTGATAGACTGAAGAACTGAATGATAGTGACTTGTAGCTGCTAGTCAAATCAGTTCACAGTTTTCGTGATTCTCTCTTGAATGTGTGACACCTTTGAACAATCAACGAAGACAATATCTGTATAAATATACCTTAGATTTCCTGTCTGTTTGTTCCTCATTTTTTTCCTGCCACATGAATAAATGGAAAGGGGAAAAAATCATTATTTTACTACTGCCCCAAATTTGACTTTGCCAGATTCATAAGATGTTATATTAATTCTGTTCATTACATAATTTTCCATGCCATTGACAAATTTTGTAGCGACAACTGAGTTGTTTATCTTTATTTGGTTGGTAATTAGGAGAAGTTACCTGCTTAACTAATATGTAAATAACTGTCTTTGCTTGAAGCCAGGCAAATTTTGCAATTTCTTTTGCAATCAGAGTACGTCTGAGGAAGCAGTAGTGCAAGCACATTTTTGGACCAAAATGGGTTTGAAAACTTTTATACCATTTCATGACCTTTGTAATTTCACTACACCCAAGTTGTTGCAGTGTCTATAGTTTTCTGGCCACCAAAAATAGCAAGAGGGGATGAATGGGCTTACATCCAAGAAAATTAGTTACATGTCACTACTATGCTATTACGCTGCACTGACAACATGAAAATAGAGCCCATGATGTTTTTCAACTGGTCTGATACTAATACTGGATTACTTGTAAATATTGCCTTTACACCCTTAATATAAAATTATAACTGATGATAATTCAGATGCCATTGGAAACCTACTAGTGATTATACTTGATGATACAGCACTGGTCGCAGTTGCCATGGTGATGTTTGCAGTGATGGTGTTCACATCTGAAAAGATGACGTGTACATATTAAAACTAATATAATGGTCTAATAATCATTAGCAAACTTCTTTAAGCTTAGAGAACCAACTACGTACCTGCACAGTAAGCAGACCAGTAGTATGGGCTGACAAACTCATAGACATAATAGTTCCCTGGGCATGCTTTGACTCGAATTGTGATGGAATTGAAAAAACAGCAGTTCCATTCTACACTCCCACAGACTCCACGAGTGACTATTCCATCCTCTGTGTGAGGGTGAGGACCATTCAACCACAAAGTGTAATAAGTACCACATCTGGATACATCAACACAGCTCTCTGGCATACGGATGTCCATCCCATAATACAGCAGCCGATACCAGCCAGTCCAGTTGAAGTTGCTGTCACAGATGTCCAGTCCAGTTGCATTAGTGGCTCTCCATGGTTGATCCAGAGAGATGTAGTTGTTGCAGGGGTCATTAAAAGAACCTATTAAATAAACAAATAAAAATGAATCAGTGGTGAAGAAGCTAAAAGTTTTTCCAGTAACATATAGAAGTATAGTTGAAGTCATCACATTATCCTAGTTAAGTTAATCTAAATGCATTCCTTCTCATGAAAGCAGTTTTGCATCAAATCATTGATTGGGGAAGCATAACAGTGGAACAAAAGTGGTGTGAAAAAAAATAAAGAAAAAAACATTTCTGCAGTACACTGTAAAAGGTCCTAATTTTACAGAAAATAACCCTTACATTTCTATGGTAATTTTCTTGTATACAAAACTCTGTAAAATTGCGGACAACATCTGTAAATTAACAGCCCAAATGTTATTTTAAGGATTCTGCCAATAATGACAAATTACATTTATTTCTAATTTTTTTTAAAGACAAATTATTATTTATACAGTATTTTTCTGTTTTTTTTAAATTATATGCAAATGTCTGGGAAAAGACAAAAATTATCTGTAATTAAATAAGTAGCACATTATATAAACGTTTATGTCCATACTAACAATTTACATTTTTTCTTAGTACTTTTAAGGTATATTTATTAGTTTTAAATTTTTATATAATTTTACATTTTTTTGCCAATTAATCTGACAAAAGTAAAATGAGTAAGGCCAAAGTCAGAAAAACAAGGCATTGCAATAGTCCAGGCAGGAAAGTAGTAGAAGCAGGAATGATAAGCTCTAACCTCGAGACAGCAGTGAACTTTTTGCCATATGTGATTTAGTGTGAATTTCTTATCAGTTCTTGCTTGTTGATGGTAAAACCTGATTACCAGTGAGCACATTACTGAACAATGTGCATATAAAGTGGAACTTACTGAATCAGGAACGAGCGCGAAAATGAAGCTTTTATGAAACCAATGAAAAGTAAAATTGACTAAAACACTTGCCAGTCTAGTCCACAGCATTGAGATTGGTTTACATCCATTTAATTTCAATAAATTTAAATATTTAGTCTGCAAAAAGATTGACATCAGGAGGGACTGCATCCTAAAAAGCCTGGTCATGTATTTGAGCGAAGACCAGAATCTTTTTTCAAGCAATATTTGGTACGTTTATTATAATGCAATTTACATGTACAATATGTAGGCATGAGTAGATATTAAGTAGATATTAAGAATATCTCAAGATACCAGTGATTACACCATGAAAATTACACCATGTTTTATTTACAAATTAGTGGTAAAATTGCTGCATGCCATGTAATTGAAGAGAATAATCATTTACCGAAATTTGCACATTAACTAAATCTGTGCAATAACAGTGAAAGTAACCGGGGCTGCATGTTCACCTTAACTACGTCCCATTGGAATTTAGATGCTACTTCAACATCAGCAGTATGCATTCTACCTGCAGTTGATTCAGAACCTAAATCTATCTAAAGATTGATCACTTTAGGATCATTTTTGGCAATTACATCAGTAAATTAGCACTTTAATATTCCTAATATTATTGGTACAAAATCAGCAGCAGCTAACATTTGATTTTGATTGAATTTGAGCTGATGATGGTGAAAACCTAAGCTACAGTTATGTTTTTCACAAGCCTTGAAAATGCAGATTTCTGCTTGTCCACTTCTCTGACCTGTCAGTGATTATGTGTTTGTATTTATGTTTGGGTCTGTCATTGGTGATGCAGAGAAGAAAATGTGAGTGAACAATGGGGATTTACACAATTTGGAGACGGTAATGAGGATTGTGCTAAGCTTTGGGACATTGCCATTGTGATAGAGGTCAACAATCTTGGAAATGCATTCATCATGGTATTTGGATTCCGTTACGCCTTTGTTTTCAGCTTTCTGACAATTTGAGTTTGTCCAAAAGATCTTGATGAGCTTGGATGGACACAAGCTGAACAGAAAAATGTTCATAAGTGGTGGAAAGTAAGTTTCTTTGAATGGTCTGGCGTTACAGCTCAGGTTAAATGTTTACCAAAAAAGCTGCATTGAGTCTATATGCTCATGTTGGTTTTTGAAATTTTAGTTGTCTTCATTCAGTTGTTTTTGCACTGTAAATTCTTTACTACACATAGGGGATGTTAGTGTTAAGATATTAAACCCCTCAACATGATTGAGGTAGGACAGCACCCACCATATTTATATTGCCTAATTTTCCTGTGTCGGGTAGGGCTGAGAGCACTTTGTTTTGGATTTGAGCTAATGGTGATAAATAACTAAGCTACAGTTGTGTTTTTCAGTAATGCCCAAACTTTTCTTGACACTATTTTTATATAAACTGAATCTGTTGAATCAGTCGATATTTCACAAAATTTGCATTGCTTGTCTTACATCATTAGAATGACAATTTAATATTTCCTCTGCTTAATTTGAATAATTGACATGTTGCTCAAGTTGTGACTTCTGGTCCATTATTTCTTACAAAGTGCTTTATTTGGTGGGGGCACAAATTTGGCCCATTTTTTAAGTGGGTAAAATAGATGTGAAACTTTGTCACTGCTTGAATTATTGTTGATGTCAATAAATGTACCTGAAGCAGATTTTCTCACTTGTGTCTATAAATAAGTAGAACAAAGGAATTTGATTGACATGATATATTCTGTCTCTGTCCAGTCAGTCTTTGCAAAATGGCAAAAGCGGTCAAAAAACTGTAAAATAAGTGTTTCTCTGCAGAACCTTCAGTGCTATTATTTTTTAAAGGTGTCTGTAATTCAGAAAAAGTCTGTGAAATAACTGTTTCTCTGCAGAACTTCACAAAACACAAAAACACAAAAATTAAACAAAATAAAATAAAACAAAACACAAACAAACAAACACTACTCAGTCCTTGATTTACTAAGATGCCTTTCAAGTTA